AGGTGAATAAATACAAAATATTTTATAGCTGATAAATCCTCAATTAAGCGCCCCCCCCCCTCCCTCAGAAACCAACTTTGTTATTTTTCGTCCTATTTTAATCAAATTTTTCGGAGAATATTAGTCTAGGCTAGGATAGATTATGATTGAAATATCTCCACCAAACCTTCAATATGCTAACGGTATGATGAGAAAATATCGAAAGGAAAAATGTCAAAAATAGAGGCGCCAAAAAACATGTAGGCGATGCGGTAACATGTGGAAAGTAGCGCCTCTACTTTCGACATATTTCCTTTCGGCCTCTTTTCATCCATTCGTTAATATTACCGTTAAAGAACTTTACACACTTAGTTAATTCTTGATTATTAGCCATTTCGATTGTAGCATCATAATAATTAACTAATGTACTTTGATACCAAACGATCAGTGTTTCTTCTCGAATAAATGTATCCATAAATCTATTACTCGTTTCCATTGCTGTACTATGTTAATTCGATACACACATGTATTAGTTAACTCTAGATGAAAAGACACAATTTTATAATCTCAATAATAATCAAAAAACAAATAGTGAAAAATGCATGTCTGTTTTGTTTTCATAGGCATGAGTAAACCAACAAAGAAAGAATAAACCAAGAAAACGAGCAGATAGGGGTGTGGGTATGGGTTTGTGGGCGTGGGTTAGGGGATGATCAACATCCGCACCCACCTACACTCACACCTACAGTCACACCGGCCAGCGAAAGTCCACATATAAATACTGTCAATGATTTCTGGTCTTTGTTAGAAGCGGCTACTGATTTTCGGTATGATAAACTCACTTTTTTCAATGATGTTTTATATGATTTTTGTTAATATACAGGTATTAAGATGCGTTTAATTTCTGTTAGAAAGCAATTATAGATTTGCCATAGTGTCGAATGAGTAAAAGGTTTGTTTTTCTCTTTTGCATACGCTTCCAAAATTCCACAGGTATGGTGCCATTTGTCCTATGACTCACCTTCTATCGACTAGTAACAGTCGTTCAAGATTTGTTCTTAGCTATGTGTAGATGTCGGGAGTCCTTCTTCCAAGCAAAAGACACTAACAACATGAATTCGATACATTATGTAAATGTACTATATCGAATAAAAAAGATTGAGGAGCACAAAATGTCATCAACTCGTTGGGAAATATTGTCTCTGCTCTACCACGTTACTATATTTGTTAGATTGACAAGGAGATGATATTCTAATGACTGAGTGAATATTTATTCCAAAAATCGTTCGAGTAAAAGCTGGTGAACTAGAGCAAACAACAGCTAAGACATGACTCTCGTGATTAGAGAGAAAAAATTAGAAATCTAAAACAACAATAACCTTTTTTGATTTAACTTACTCCATTGTATAGATTCAAATATTTTCATTAACTCTCCACACTTCCTCCCAAGAGCAAAATGTTTCTTATCGATTGTATAATTCCGTAATGCACCATCGAATTGCACGAAAAATAAAAAAGGTGTGGATGTGGGTGAGTGTACGGTGTTTGGGTGGGTGTGAGTATGGTCTTTATCAACTCTTCTACATCCACAACCACACTCACACCCAACATGGACGCTCTTGTTTTGGCACGAAGGATCTTATAACATATCCGAAAATGGTAAAAAATGCCGAGTATGCAATACGGACTAGATTTTGTGCCACGAATCACAGTTTTTGATTTCATTTGCACAGGTTTTGCACTAATGTAAGTCAAATATTAGCAAAGAGCACCGTGTCATGCGAAGAGGAGGTACGTAGCTACTGATAAATCATCTGTGGAAATGTCTTTTTTTCCAACAAGGTAAAAAGACATGACTCATACGTCGAAGAACTATCCATTTCAATTATTAACATGCTTTTTCCCCTATCAGGAGAGTCAAAAATATAAAAAGAAGAAGAAGCAGCTAGCAGCTTCATTATCACGATCTTCTACATTTATTTCTCAACACAACATTCATCTATGGCAGCAGCAGTCGCAATTCCACTAGGTTGAGACGTTCTTGTCACCCTATTCGGTGGGTTGGGTATTGGCTTAATTTTGACAAAGACTGCCGAAGAAGTTATTCGAGAAAAAAAGAAAGGAAGCGTAAAGCAAGAGTTTCCTGGGGAATGGTTTGGAAAAACGATCGAAGACATTGAGAAGGCTGCCAAATCTGGCGATGCAAGCGCTCGAAAGGCCAAAAAGCTATTGTCGAATAAACGTTTTGACAAGTAGAAATTTTTTATTATTTTCTCTTGTTCTCATCAAGAAAAAAAAGCTTGAAACAAACAAGAAAGACTTACTGCATTCCTTACATGATGAAGTATAATTCGTATTCTTCCAAGTACAAGCAACATTTGTCTTAACCCTCGAATTATTTCGCCGATCTTTCACAATTATTTTCAGTTTTGAACGGATCTGTGAATTTAAAGCATCCACCATTTTTTCGGTATCTATTTCAATAAATACTTAGACTTTAGTAGCAGCGTCTATCTAATAACATCATTCATGCAACCAGTGCTCAGGTTGCACTAGATTTACAATTTTCAAACACTTGCTTTCTGTTTTCATTCGAGAGGTAAAAGATTGTTGACTCCGTTTACCGCACTCTTTCATAGTTTACTCTGAAGTACTCAGCTTATCTAGCTAAATGTGTGGGTGTAGTTGTGAATAGTAAGCTTTTTTAGTTCATAACCGCACCCACACCCTTTTCAGGTAGTAATCAGTTCACACAATTCCATATATTTTTTTTGCTAGTGTGGATAAAGTTTGGAGTCTCACTGAGCTTCTTCTTTTGATTCATATTTTTATATTCACATCTATGCTACCATATGTATTCCATATTTCTATTTCACACTCTAAAACAACTGTACTTCTGTGATACACATTTTGTATCCGATTAGAATTTTTGCACATGTCAGCATTCATTCCATTCATTTAGTTTTGACTTGATCTTTCCTATTTTTCATGAAGCTCGATGAGTTGTTTTCTAGTTATTTTTGTTCTACTATACAATCGTGCAACTCTAGTGAAAAATGGACCACAATTATCAAAGAAAAAAGAATTCGACTTCAAAGTTGAAGCTATGAGTTAACAGTGTGGATCTTCGCTTCATCCGCACTCTTCTTTAAAAGAAAAAAATTTCAGTTCAGATTTCTTTTAATATTAATTTACAATAATGTTTACCAAATAATTCTGAACCTTAAAATTTTCCTTCATGATACAATGTCGAAATCACTGACAAAACGTGTCCTACAAGATTAAATTCATAAAATATGTCATCACAATGAATAAATAATAAAAGGCATAATTCGAAATTATTCAATAGCACTATTTAGCTGAACTTGTATTGTTGAGATTAACGGAACATCATTCACATAAATAAAGTCTTGATAATTTAGTACTGAATGGTTTAATGAATATTTGATTTTACTACAGTATTCATTAGATATACAAAATTAAATGATCAAATATCTACGAAATATTAAATAAGAGCATAAAAATTTATTTACTTTCTTTTCTTTAATTTTATTAGTTTTTTGTAAAGTTGAATTCTATGAAACATGAATAGAAAGTGTTGCATACAGAATATTCATGTTCAGTAAAAACTCTTAAGGTGTGGGCTTCAGTATAAGACAATGGAAAATCCACACCCCATATTCTCAAGACATGATTGCAGAACACATCACTATACCATCATGCGATCAATTTTTAAGCTTCGAAAGTTCTAATGCTTCTCGTCAAAGGTAACATGTGTTTGTTTCAATTTATACGGCTGCCAAAAATCTTGAAGTCATTGGGCGGGTGAGGGTGGGTGAGGTGGGGGTGTGAGCTGTGTGATTGTCTCCCTACCAAACCCATACCCACACCCCGTTCTGTGCTCACGATTGACCATGTGAGCCATAATCGTTTTCTTTTCTTTCGTTCTTTTTTCTGATGTTCTGTTAAGACAGTCGAACAGGTGAGAGAGAAAGAGGAAAGAAAAAAGATATAAGTCAATAGAGGAATTTTTTTCCTTCTCTCTCGTCCATAAGGCATCATTCATGTTATCATTCATGATCAATGATCATATGTATAATTAAAATGTCGGTGAATTAAGCTTTATCCATACACATACATTGAGATATATGGTAATTGAATTTATCTCAATGTACGTGTGTGTTCCGATGAAAGCTTAATTGAATTCATCTTTTAATCACACACGGATAAAAAAAATAATTGAATTTTTCTCTCTCTCAAAAAAACCTCAGCAGGAATATAAATATGAATGATTTCCAACGAAGAAATCATTGCATTTTTGAATCAAATAATAATCATTTTTCTTTTATGTTTTAGATTGACTTCAACAATACAATATGGTGCAAGTCAATATCAAACAATACAATAAAATAAAATGTATAGGTATTGGTTTTAATTTTTTTTCTTTTTCTTTTTTTGATTGTTTTCTTTTTCTTTTTTGTTTTAGGTCTCAATCTTGCATGTAAGTGAATCTTCTTTTAATGATTTTTTTGTCTTTTTCGTTTTTTAGCCATCAATATCATCGCGTCACGTTGTCATCATCAACAACATAAAAAATAGTGAGTAATTGTTTCTTTTTTTTTCTTTTGAGAATGAGAATAGGGTGACGAGGAGGGATGAGATCAGACAAGACTAAAGAAACGTTAGGAGTCTTGCCAGAGAGAGATGGGGTGAGTTAGTTCCATTGAGATTCATTTTTAAATACATACTTTCCGTGTAGGCCCTAAAAACCAGGCCAGGAACTGTCTTGATGTTTGTGGCACACGTCCGGACTTTCCCAAGACTCGTTGGTACATCTCTGGAGTGGGACAGATGTGAATAGTTTGAGTGTGTTCCGTGCATGCATGAGCGTTACGCTCGCCACGGCTCCATCAGGGTGGTTTCTGATAGCGCACGTGCGAATAGAATAGCCATTCTTTTCATCAATCAACATGATTTATTTGAGGGAAAGGAAAGGTACAAAATTAGTCATTGATTTGAGTTTATTCGATAGAAAAATGTTGAACACGATTATTCCAACGATCCACAACATAGAGATTGCCGTGTCGATCGAAGGACAAGCCTCCGAGAAGATTAAACTGACTTGCTCCTTTTCCTTCGCCATTGCCACCGGCAATGACAGTGCCATGTTTTTCTCCTTTAGGCCAACGCATCACTCGATGATTTCCCGAGTCTGCCACATACAGGGTACCCAATGTATCGACGAACAGCCCTGTAGGATAATACAATTGTGTCAGAGCATTCCCTTTGCCTTGACCCCCACCGACGACAATTCCTTCGTTTGCACCTTTATTCCATTTCATCACACGATGATTGTTGTAGTCGGACACGTAGACAGTCTGTTGTTGATCGACAAAGACGAAGGTTGGAACGTTGAGTTGATTAAGACTAGCACCTTTGCCATGTCCACCAGCCACGAGAGTTCCATTCTTGTCTCCTATTTGATATCGTCTTACTTCATGTTTGTTGGTGTCAGAGATGTAGATATATCTCTGATCGTCCATGACCAGTCCCCAACAACTGATATTGTCGATGAAGATTTCTACTTGTGTGGCGCCACTACGACGCGGCCATCGTGAGACTCGTCCATTCATTGTGTCACAGATAACGAGACTATCTGTCTCTTTGTCGATAAACACATCGGTTGGACCAGATAATTGATCCAATTGATTTCCATTACCATGGCCACCAGCAATCAATTGTCCATTCGTATCACCCATCTTCCATTGGATGATACGATGATTCGAAGTGTCAGCGATGATTATTGCTTGATCATCATCAATGAAGAGACCAAAAGGGCATGAGAGTTGCTTGGTGGCATCGCCTTCTCCGTGGCCTCCAGCAACAGTCGTTCCTTGCTGTTTCCATCGTGCACTAACTGGAATATTGGGAATGACTACAATAAACGTGAAAAATAAAATGAATTTTCACAGTCGTTCCTGAAGACATCTCATTTCCTCTTTCATCAGAGGACAAGTGCTGCAAATCAGACCTTCGTCTACTTTGAAGGAAAATTGGCAAAACTTTGAAGAATATTCTTTTTTCTCTAACATGCTCTAAAACTTGAAAAGGCTCTTCCTGGTAGATGGGTATGGCTGTGGATGTGGTTGGTGAGACGACAATTGAGCTCCCGGCAGTTAATCCGTGACCATTGAACCTTCATCGATTAATTACAAGGGAAACAAAATCAATATTCGATCACTTTTTTCAACTCAAAATTAGTAGACAGAAACATCCAACATCTTTCTAAGAGATTGATGACTTGCTATTATAATTCTCTATAGCTAAGTCAGTCATCGTTAAGAAAATGAGTAAGTTTTTCAAATTATTTTTCTTCTTTTTATCTGGTCTCCATTACTTTTCTATCTTATTCTATTGTTATTATACAATGTCTATTGTGAAATTCTCAAAAATCAAGGACCAACTTTTACTTGATAGCTTTGGTTACCTACGCGAAGTGGGTGTGTGTAATCGCGGTGAAATATGGATGTTCTATTCACATAAATCCACACCCACACCCACACCCATAATTCCAAAAACTCATTCGTTTTCGTAAAGATGATTCAATGAGCTATGGAAAAATATACTAGTGAGTCATCAATACCATAGGAACATGGCGTATGTTTGTATACCCCTGAGATAAGATGGACTCGGAACAGGGTAAAGCTATAATGTATGCTCTGTCCTACCACCCGCCAGGATAGAGTCAGACACCAGGGCAGGACAGAATAAGTTGCCCTGTGTCCATCTTTGGGGTGCACTACTTTTGAGTTGAACAAAGTGATCGAATACTGATTTTATTTCCTTTGTAATTAATCGATGAAGACTCAAGTGCCGGGAGGGTGTGGATGTGGGTGTGACTGTTGACGATGCACACAGCAAAACTCACTATCATACTCCACACCCGTATCCATAGAGGTTTCTGATGAGATATTATCAGGTTTTTGCCAATCTACGTTAAACTCGTGCGAGTAGCATTCTGATCAGATTTAGAGCTGCATAAGGAAAGAATCTTAGCAAGATCACAGGAAGGTTAGTCAGAATCTGAAACTGAGTATATATGGCAGCGTCCCAAGATGTCCTCTAAAAGCTGATGCGTGTTCCTCTCGGCAGCCTTTTTATTGAAGTTTTTGAAAATTCTGTCTGACAGTTGCAGCAGGAACAAGTATGCCAAATACACTGTACACGAATGGCGTATGCCTTTTTTGGATATTTTTCTGGGAATACCTTGAGAGTGCTGGAGAAACTGTGAAATTAAGGAAACCACGTTGTGACCAGGATAACTCTTGCTGTGGATCAAAGCGAAATCGTCAAGGCAGATTCTTACAAGATTTTTTGAAGGTTTTCGATGATCTGCTAGAAATCATGAAATTAGGATTCCAGCAAAATTCACAGATAGATCAAATGTGGAGTCCAGTAAGGAAGCGTGAAGACACCTGTGCGAAATCTAAAGTGAGATATCCAAAGAAATTTTGCGTGCGGATTTCGAAAAGCTGATGCAAGCGTGCCATGGAAAGCGTTACTGTGGGTCTACATTCTTAGAAAGAAATGTTAATCCCGATTATTACTTGCTTGCAAATCGACCAGATTCAGTGAGAATTTGTTCGGCTGCTAGGATGACAACTTCTTCGACTTTCTTGAGTGATCATTTTCGAAATGAGGAATGAAGTATCCAACTAGTATCTGGTCGTTATTGTTTCTAAGATGTCGTCAGGAATTAGAAACAGAGTTATGCCAAGTTTTCATGAGGTGTATACAACATGTTCTTGAAATCTTCATAGCCGAGGATCCTTAAATCTTTATGGAGATGGTGGCTATGTACACTTAGGTAGGGTGGATGGGTGTGGGAGGGGGCTGAGTGTGTGTGAGGGCTGAGTGTGTGTGAGGGCTGAGTGAGTGTGGGTGGGGGATGAGGATGGGGGGGGGGGTGAGGATGGGGTAAGTTAGTAGTTTGAGCTTTTTTGAATCGGCATTGATATTAAAACTCGGATCA